GCAGCCTGGCCCAGTTTCTCATTGGCCTTTACCAATCCTATTAATATCCATCTATGAATGGGTTTCATCACTCTGTCCTCCTCCCCACTGATAGCTGATTTGTGGTGAGTGTACTGTCACACTCTGGTTCCCGTCACATCATCCAGGTGGGGCTGCACATTGGTGGTGAGGAAGAGGAATTCACATTACTCATGAAGAGCTTTGAGTGGAGTGTCCATAAGAGCGCCATATAAGTGTAAGGGATCATTATTAACGACAAGACCTTTTCTGACTGCAATATTGCACTTAAAATAACACTATTTGCTATGAGAAGGACATGTGCTATATTACTAAATTGGTGCATCAATCTATTTCCACATGAGCAGAATTTATCTTGGGTTCCATGGGTAGAGTAACAATTATTGATTGTATTTACAAAGCACTTCTCATAATGGATCCACACATACCCCACTGTACATATAGGAATGAGCTCACTTCACGGCCTCCCTCTGATTATAGCCTCACTGCATAGCAGAACAGAGACAGGGAGAAGTGAGGAATTGCACTCCTCTGAAAGGACAAAATTTAGGTAGGCCAAACTGAGCCAGCCCAAGTAAAAATGTCTTCCAAATATCATTATTTGTCAATTATTATTCCTTAATTGATATTCCCGTAACAAAATACAGCATTCAGATTATATGAGTTCTAAGGAATTAAGATATTCTATGCGAAATAACTACTTTCAAAGTTAACAGGGTGGCACAGTGATACATTGGTTAACATTGCTGCCTCACAGTGCTGGGTCCCTGGGTTCAACGTGTTTGTATGTTCTTCCGTGTTCATATGGGTTTCCTCCACAGCCTAAAGGTAGGTAGATTAAATGGCTTCTGGGAAAACTGGCCCATATTACAAACAATTGCATTATTATTAATTAAACACCAAATTAAACTAGATGATATTATTAAATTCACTTGTCAATGGTGAAAGTTAAGTTGGTTTACTTCTGGTTTGCACACTTCACTAATAACATTGCCTGCTGTCCCTGTTAGCCCTGTACCTGAACGCTATCAACACAGATCACAAGCTACACACACCATGGATACAGTGTCTTTCAAGCAAGTAAATCATGACAACAAAACGTAGCAGGATTTATCAGCAAGTAAAGCATGGTAGTAAACTGTAGATAATATAACCATTTTCTTTAATATAGTCTTCAGTGTGTCTGGGGGTTGCAAAAGTGCCCAGGTTTCCATAAGACAGAAGTGTGTTCCTACAAGTAAAACACACGACAACAGGCCAAAGACAGGTGAGTTTCTTCTGTGTGTGAACAGTATGACAGAATTCTGTTGTGCCCCAGCTTGCTTGAGCCTGGGGTGCCTGGTCATCTAGGTTCACTCCTGGCCGCCCCCTGGTGCATCCTGGGTGTCAGTGCAGTGCAGGCTGGAATCCCTGTTGCCCCCGACCGAAGTTCGCCTCCGCTCGAGCTCCTTCTCGTATCGCTGCAACTGGGCCCAGAAGCCCTCATTGGGCTCCACCACTGAGCGGGCTGACTTCACCATCTGCAGACCCCAACGTGGGGAGGCGGGGGGAGAAGGAACACCAAGACCGAGAGCAGTTGAGCCCAGATGATGCAGTTCAACAGCAGGGCAGCTTCTGCTTTTTGTTGCCTTGTTATTTAATTCCTTACTTGGTTCATGGATTATATTATGCACGGCAAACTCATTTCTCACACTCTGGAGCTCTCAGATGTGGTATGGGAA